CAGGAGGACAGGAGGAGGAGTATCATCGTCTTGATTGAGTGTTGAATAAAGTGGACCAGCTCCTTGTTGTTGTTGTTGTTTATTCTTTTTCTATTATACATTATTGTTATTGTATGTCTGGTATTTTGTTTATTATACCTCTCCCTCTCTCTTTAGTTCAGAGTATTCTTGTACTCCATTAGGATTATAGGCTGGTACTGGTGGGGGAGTATCATCATCATCATCACTAGCTCTAAGAAAACTGTACTGACCTAGTGAATATTGTATTAATAATAATAATGTATATATAATTACTGAGTCTATACTCAATACTGATCACTATAAAGCTGAGCATGTACTTAAGCACATTGCCTATCATGTCCTCTTGTCTATCATGTGCTAGTTCATTGTATCTTACAGTAAAACATATGATTAAACTGTGTAGGCTGTTGTCAGCTTATTGTGTGGTACATGTATACACATATGGTTCATGTCATGACAGGTAGAGGAAGGTTAATGTTATTCTTGCTAATGTACACTAAACGATGACTGGATATAAGTATATGCTGGTGTATATGGTGTATATGGATTGATTAATTTATTGTATTAAATTGATGTCATTGTATAGTTTATGTACATTATTTTTATGTTTATGTCATTGTACATACACTGAGCTGCTATTTAACATGTACTTGAAAATTTGTGTGTAGCATTTGTACAAAGCTGCCATTTTTTTGTTTATAAACTTTCTGTGTACTAGCTCTTCCGTAAACTGCGCCAGTATCCCTTTAATCAAGCCAATACGGTATATTGGAATTCTCTATGGGCATTTTTGTTTGTTTTTTTACTTGAATTTTTCCCTGTTAAGAAATAAATGCCTGAGCGTTTAATTAAGCAAATATGGTATACATATAGAGAGTAATCTATACAATTTTTGAATGGTTAACTTATAAACTTAACCCTGTCTTAAACTATCAATACTGTATAGCGGGAAATTTTGGAGGGAATTAAATTTGGTGAATTTGGCGTATTGATAGCCATTCGCCCAAATAAAATTCACTATTTTGAGCCATTATACGCATGCTCAATGGCACGTGGCCACTAATTCGCCAAAATAAAATCTGCTAATCACCAAAATTTAGCAATTCGCCAAATTTTAGTCCCTCCAAAATTTCCTGCTATACGGTACAAACAATTAAACATTTGACTCATTCTAAACAAGCTAGGATATACATGTAGTAGTAACAGTTAATTAATTGAAGTTAACTCCACATGTTGCAATTGTTCTAGTGACTTAGAGAGGCCCCCATGATGTTGTATTGAGTATTATGCTTGTGAATATCATTTGCATCTCATTACATTTGTCAATAATCATGTTTTACACAAATTTTTGAGTAACTTTAAAATTCATAAAAATCCAATTTTGATCGGAATCAACTCAAACTTGCTGCTACACAACATAAGTACATGTATATGTATCAGAAAATATTATAAAAACTAAGATTTTTCTCCTTTAAAAATTTATTAAAAATTTAAGTTATGTATCAGAAAATGTTATAAAAATTGAGAATTCTCTACTCGACATTTTTGGCAAAATTTGGCCAACGCCCCTGTACTATTAGTAACGCGGTAGCGTTACTAAGTAGGATTCACCCCCAAACAAAATGGCTGCCATTACTTTTGCAGCCTTGCTATACCGGGAAAACGAGCTCCTATGCTTACCAGACTTCTTAGAGGACCTCATCT